TGCCCAAAGTTTGAAGAAGTAAGAATTTTTAAATTGCTTTGTATAGTCGGTATACTAATTATCTGAAACTTCTCTGTTTAAGATACAGATTTTTCTCATACAGTAGAGGCAGATGCTGAAGAATCTTAGTGCATTATTAGAAATAAAGTAATTCTCATGCTAGCCACTAAAAAAAAAAATGTCCACATCATTTCCCTGTTTTTGGAAGTTTATAGTTCTATGAGCAGGTGTTTGACAGTATGATACAGTAGGTCTTTGTTTAATTGAGTTTTTAATCATAAGATACTTGCTAGATCACAGAGACTTGGCATTAATACTTCAGTATTTTTGCAATATTTACATTTTTTGAATACTTGATAAAAGGTTAAGTCCTTGCTGTATTACGGTAGAATCCCATGGTTTGTTTGTTGTTGTTTTTTTAATAGCCTCAGCTGTGGTAGTTCTAATTGTTAAGCAGTCATCTGATTTTAATATGGAAGCCAACTAAAGCTGTTTTTATTTTAAACAGGATGTTTTGAGCAGTGATATCATAATCCTGACAATCACACGCTGTATAGCAATCCTTTACATTTACTTCCAGTTTCAGAATCTAAGGCAACTTGGATCAAAATATATTTTAGGTATTGTATCTCATTTTGTATTTATTACTTGTATATTTATTGATTTTATTTGTTTGTTTATTTTTTGGTAGAATGATAGTGAGTATTAGATTATAAATACTTACATGTATAGTGGGATCAACTTTTTTAGTCTGGCCACCCTCAGAAATCAGAGTAGCTGATGTTCTTTTCTTTTCTGTTAGTGAGAAGCCAGAAGATCTGCATTTGAATTCTCTGGATATTTTATTTTGTTTAAATGTAGCAGTAATTTTAATTTTAAGCATTGTTAAACCATGGGTTTGGGGTTTCTTTAAGAAAAATTATAATTTAAAAAGATGGCATTTACATTTGAATCCCAGTTTATCAGAAGTTTGTACACCAGCAGTCTTCCTGTACTGAAATGACTTGAATTGCAAAAGAAACAAATTTGTAAATATTCATGGTAAAAGGCTGACTAACTACTGGATTAAAGTAAAATAAGCCAAAGCCAAATACATTTTTTCTTAGACTAGATTTCACATATCACCTTTCCTTCCTACACTTACCATAAAAAAAATCAATTTTATTTATAGAAGGATCTCCTTTGGAAGGTTTTGTTTTTAATTAACCAGTGTTTTTAAATCTGTATTTTAAAGATTTTACATTTTAGATGTTATACCCCAACACTGGGATTGAGAATATGGCTTCTATATGAGACACATGGTTTAGCTATAAATATCTGTCCATATATCATACTAACCCTACCATTAACTTATCTAGTTCAATTTTAAAGCAATTCAGGTTCCTTTGTCCATCTAATTGACTTAGAAGACTATTCTAAAACTTTATTCCTTTGGTTAGAAATTTTCTTATAGTTTCCAGTTTGTTGCCATTTGGCCTTGTGCTAGCATAATTTTTTGGCCTAAAAAGTCCTTCTGCTTCCTGAATATTTACCCTACAAACATGTATGTAAAGAGTAATCACATGCCTTCTCCATCTCTGTTTTTAAAAAGGAGATATTTAGCTATGTCAGTCGGCAGTTAGACAGAAGCTAGGGAAGAGTTGCACCTAACAGACTAGTCTGTAAGGTACAGCTCTGCTGTGTCTTTCATAGTCTCTTTTTTGGTTAAGCCAAACAAGCCAAGCTTCTTTAATTTTTTTCATAGAAAAAGGTTTCCATTCCTTAACCACCTTAGTGGCCCTTCTTTGGATCTGTGTGCATTTCTGATCACAATTAAATTTTACTGCAGTAGTAATTTCATAAATGATTTTCACTCTTATGTTTTAGGTTTTCCCAGCGAGCACCCAACTTGACATTCTGAATAGGTCTTGCTTTCTAATAACAAGAAAAAGTGGTATTTTCTCATGAGTATTCATTGTATTCTGCAGCTGAGAAAAAAACCCTTACTGCATTAAATTTAGCCTTTAGTTTTTAAACTGGTTTCTGTCTTCTCTAGGTAATGTTATGGTATGAACGAAATCATCCTTCCCAAATGTAGAATTAGCTGGAATTGCCTTGGTGCTCAAAAGAGTCAGAATATCAAATAAATACCCTGGGTTACAGTAGCACTAAAATACTTGAGTCTTAGAGAACTGCTTTTTGTTGCAAAAGAGAAGACTCAGACTCTAGAATCTTTTGGAAAAAAATACCTTTTGACAAAGTTGAAAATTAGATTGTAAGCTGTTTGACTTTTCATGTTTGTCTTAGCTGGCATCTAAATGTGTGACTTTCAGTATTTTTTTCTTAAAGGTATTGCTGGCCTCTTCACAATCTTCTCAAGTTTTGTTTTTAGTACAGTGGTAATTCACTTCCTGGACAAAGAACTGACAGGCTTGAAGTAAGTATTATGTATTTTTAGGTTTTTAAAAGAAAAATGGAACTTTTTTTCATTCTAAAATGATGTAAGAGTTTTTCTGATCTAAATTATTTAGAACTCTATAATTGATAGATTAACATATGTAGCTCCCTCTTCAAAAATGTTTCCCCTCTGTTTTAGGGAGAATGCACAGATTTGGGCTTTTGTTAATTTATTTTAATGTAATGATATTTGTCATTAACAAGTTCCTTTTGTTTCAGTGAGGCATTGCCATTTTTCCTGCTGCTTATTGATCTTTCCAGAGCCAGTGCATTAGCCAAATTTGCACTCAGTTCCAACTCACAGGTGAGCATTTTTTTTAATAATTTAGGTATTGAATTTATCACCTGAATATGAGTGCCAGAGAACTGAGATGTGCATGGACAAAACTATGCCTACTAATGCTATGTCAAGTCTGTTAATATAGAATATAAAATCCACTATGAATTCCATTATGAAATTCAAAATTCTAACTTTCTGATATTCTAGGTTAGGAGACGCTTAAATGAGTAGCCTGGCTAAAATATCAATAGGACTGGTCAGATTTAGCAGACTCACTCGTATGGAATTGCTTACGAGATCTGGGCCTGTGATTTTAGTGTAAAGACAATGAGCAAACCTAGTTAGTAAAGCTATCAATTACAGACACAAAACTAATTAGAATAAAGGTTGTAAGGTACATGTACAACCACCTGAACAATCCTTAAGTAAAGGACTTAAGTAAAAAGGAGAGGAAAAAAAAAAGTTTTATGCTTTCTTGTATGAAACATACATTTTGTGGGGGTTTTGTTTGCTTGCTTTAAGTATCCAAGCACTGTGTGGCCTCAGTTTTGAGCTCCCTATCCTAATAATATGCTATTCTAAATAACTCTTTTTCCATCTCACTGAATTTATTTATAGCAAGAATCCTTGCCTTTTTTAAGATACAAAACTGTAAGAAAAGCCATTTAGTTTCATGAATAAATACCATATTTTCTTGCATACATCATACCCTGGAATAACATTTGCACCTTGTTTTCGAAAGGCAGAATGAAAAAAAACTCATTTTAGCACATTCTGCCTATAAGTTCATCACGGGGGCACAAAAGGGAATTGGTGAGGATTTATTCACCAAGGTGCCCCCAGGGGTTACAAGAAATAATGGCCACAAGCTAGCAGAGATTAGGTTTAGACTAGACATTAGGAAGAACTTCTTCACAGTTAGAGTGGCCAAGGTCTGGAACGGGCTCCCAAGGGAGGTGGTGCTCTCCCCTACCCTGGGGGGCCCTTTTTCCTGCCTATGCAGGGGGTCAGACTCGATGATCTATTGAGGTCCCTTCCGACCCTAGCATCTAACATCTAACCCATAACTGAGTAGCAGCACCAGGGGAGCCAAGCTACTTATTGTTCTGCTCCCTATGGATCATGTGCAGACTGTACTTTTGTTTTTGCCCAGCCAGAACAAGCAGCAGAAACTGCCATCACCATACTTCTTATGTTTTTGTTTATGTTCAACATCTGTTTTGGGGGAAAAGTGTGTTGTGAGGGAGAAAATACAGTAAGCAAGTTATAATATTAATTACTAGAATTAAGGGGCGTGAGAGAATTCCTACAATTTTTAGTCTCCTAAAATTGGTGAATAATAATGCCCTGTACTGGAATGTGGAATGTAATGATATTTACTTTTTTTAAACCTTGTCAGTTTTCTTAGGATTGTTGCCAGTGACTTTTTCGGATTGGGCTCCAGTCTCTCTCTTTTTCATTGACCTCTTTATGTTGTTCCATTTAAAGTCTGAAATTTCTATTTTAACATTAATGTCATTATAATAATTTTTTTTAGCTTTATCATTAAATTCCTTCTTTGAGTAGGACTAAGCTTTTGAATTTGGAGACTCAGATCCAGGCATCTAGATATAATTTTCATTTTTGAAGAAAGAGACATTTTTAAACTTCCTGTGCGAGAGGAGAATTCTTCATGAACAATTATACCCATGAGATTTTATTTTCTTGGGAGACCTGGAATGCCTTTTTAAATGGATTGTTTCATAAGAAAAAGGGATGTGTTGTTTAGGACTCAGCCTATGATCCAGAGTAGTCTTAATTTTCTTAGAATAGAAAACAACTATTATTTAAAAGTTAGTTGGCACAGAAATTAAGTAGTTCTGTGTTGCTATGTTGTATCTTTTTAAAAACCTTACAAATTTTTTAAATCAAAAGTCTGTCTTAATTTAAATGTGATTCAGAACACCTGCTATCTAAAATAAAGAGTTACTTTTTAATTAGATTACATAAATGATGAAGTAATAAAAATGTTTAAGAAAAGGGATAACAGCCTGAATGAACTGAAATGATTAAAGTAAAGAACAAATACAGCCTTAGGAGAATTTGAGGAATGAACAACTGCATCTATATTGAGTAAGAAGTTAAGCCTTTTTAATCCTTGCTTTGTTAGTTATAACTATAGTACTTCTATATGAAGCTAAGAACGTAAGAACAGGCCTAGTCCTGCTCGAGGGCTTGTATCTTATTATTTTGGAGGATTAAGAGGTTCTAGGAACAAATCTAGCTCACCAGTTATGCCTGTCCTTGCATCTTTCCTCTGACTCCTGCCAATCCAATTCTTCAGGAATCAAAAGTTGTGAGTCTAACCATTCTCTGCGGACTTCAGTAACTGCAAATATTCCTTTTTTCCAATTTTTATCTTTGTTTTAATTGATAGAAATTTGTGTTTTTTATAGGATGAAGTAAGAGAAAATATTTCACGTGGAATGGCAATCTTGGGTCCTACATTTACACTAGATGCCCTTGTTGAGTGTCTTGTGATTGGTGTTGGTACCATGTCCGGTGAGTGACAAAATCAAGGGTCTAGTTCTCTGAATTATAGTATCGGGTATCTTCAGGTCCTCAAATAATTGATGTTTTTGATCCATTATGTTTCACAGTGTGGGCACGGTAGGGGAGATACCACTATTTTTTTTAAGTACTTTTTTTTTTTTTGTTCAGATCTGAATAGTACTGAGGTCTGATGACCCGATGGAAAAATAATTAATTCCGTTAGGTTCTTATGGAATAGTGTGCAGGTACAAAGCTCTCCTGCACATAACCATTTGCAGAGCTGGATCTTGTCTAAATTAAAATCTTCCATTATAGTGGAACCTTTTTTTACAAATGGATGAGATAAAACCACTTGCTTGCCTACGTCATGCTGTTGCAAGAACTAATGTTTCTAAATTGGAACTATGTGCTAAGGATTATTAGGCTGTTTTAATTAAAACTTCCAGTGACATTTTTCTTTCGTATACCTCTTGATCTTCATTGATTCTAGGTCTAGTAATTAAGGAGAAGTAGTTAAGTGTAAAAAGTAGTAGTTTTTCAGACATAAATAATTCAGTAATTTTTTTGGAATAAACTGTAAGCCATAAGTCCACAAAAAGAGATCTACAATATTTAAGATTTTTAAAATTTAGCTGTCTTAAATACTTCAAAGTAGAGGTGCACCAATATATTGGTGCCATATCAGATCGTCACCTATAAAAGGAAAATCAACACATCAGCTGTTGGCTTTTTTTGGCCAGTTTAGCCGATAATGTCACCGATAAATATAATATGCCGTAATAATGTCTAAAATGAATTGGTAGTCTGTGGATTTCTGAGGGTATTTTTTCTTGCTGGTTTACCTTCTTAAAAATACCTGGAATATTCATTTGCTTGTCACTTCCACTTTGGGACCTGTTGGATATATTGGAGGATTTATCCAGTTAATTCTCTTACTTTAACTGAAGACATCAGGTGTTGAATCTGTAACATGTCCAAAACTTTTATCATTTTGCCAACAAGAGTTAAATAGTACAATTAAAAATTATTTCCATTCTTAGTATTCTCTCTGTTGTTCTCTCTAACACTTCATTAGTTCTCTTATATTTTTTAAATCCATTTAGAAATTCAGGTCCTGTCTAGCCTAATATGAATCGCTTTTTCTGGAGGGAAAGA